TAACAGATCAAGATATATACAAACCTGAGTGGAATATACTTTTAAAATATATTCTATTTACAGAATACGATCGATAAGCTGTATGACATTGTAGGATATACATAGAATCATGGTAGTTTGTTTAGTAAACTTCAAAACCAAACAGGATAAAACAAGCCAGATATGTTAGACAGGTAAGGTGTGATAGGCAAGCCAGGGTAAGAGCTAGGAGGAAGGGAGCAAAGGTTACACAGAGAACAGGTCACAGAATGAGAGAACCGATTGTCAAAAGCAGGAAAGGGAATTAAGATGGCTTCTGGAATTTGTATCTTGCCTAATTATTCCCTTAAAATCCATATGGGGAAAAAAATCTGCTGAAGGGCAAGAATGAAACAGAATTTCTGAAGGGAAGAACACAGAATCCAGAACCTAGAGGCAATTTGTCGTTGAGATTTTTCTTTTAAGGCAGCAAATACCCACACGAGGATTTCGTTAAAGGAAATTCAATTACGGAGGCGAGGGGGTGACTTATGGCTCCTCATTCACTCAGAGGCCAGGATGAAAGACTTCCAGGAATAAACTAAGTTTAAACAAACATGTGGGAGAGAAGATCTCCTGACTAGTGATGCTAACAATAGGATGTGGCATTTAAAAAGAAGTGTATTTATAAAATTAATAGGAAGTATTAGTACACAAATTGCTGAGTTGAAAAGTGCATCAGATTATAATATGAACATCTCTGTGATTTTAACACTTTCTCAACAGGCCTTCCATCCAGGACTTGGTATAGTTAGACTTCCTTCACTGTTACTCTACCAGGCTATCACAATCTTTATACATCACTTTGATTTGTTCTTTGATAAGTGTTCAATTAATTTGTAAGTTCAACATATCAAAATGTGAGTTAACCTTTGATTACAAAAAAATTATCCCAAGCAGTATAAATTATACTAATAATTTAATATATATAGTTATCTGAACCACTTTTAAAAACTGACAAAGTAGATTCATATTGCAACAAGCAAAATCTAAGATTTATAACTTATCAGTCTAAAGACAAACTCAGACATGTTAAAGTTCTCGTACACATTCAAGCACAGTTTAAAACCGTAACCACTTTTCTTATACAGTTCACATTTAAATCTTAAGCCTAACATCAAATTATCTTAGTTCTCTAATCTAAACCACAAGCAGATACATCAGACCCTCTAATTATTCAAAATGATTACAACAGAAACAATAATTACAGTTCCTAATACTTAGGTAATAATAATTACCAAACTTCATTACTTCACTAGTGATTGGGAGAGAGAGAAGAGAGAGAGAGAGAGAGAGAGAGAGAGAGAGAGAGAGAGAGAGAGAAAGAGAGAGCAAGAGAGAGAGAGAGAGGGAGGGAGGGAGGGAGGGAGGGAGGGAGAGAAAAGAGGGGGCCCATTTTAGGCAGGCTAAGTCAGACATACCATTAGAGCATAAGAGATGAACCATTACTTCCAGGTTCATCTGCAAAAGTCATAAACTAATCCATAGTGTCCTTCTGCATGCACTGTTTAGATTTTTGTTTTGCTTTGTTGTTTTTTTGAGACTGGGTTTCTCTGTGTAGCCCTGGCTGTCTTGGAACTCACTCTGTTGTACCAGGCTTTTATTGGAGGGCCACCAACAGCTTCCAAATCATGACACAGAGACTTCTTTCTAGTTATGAATGCTTGGCCTTACCTTAGCTCGTATTTTAATCTGTTTCTCTTCATCTATGTTTTGCCTCAGGGTTTTTAACCTTTTCTTTTCATATGTTCTACTCTGTGCCTGCTGGCTGGCGGCTGCAGCTCCTTCTCTTTTTCCCTTGTCTTCTCTTCTTCTTCTTCCTCTTATTCTTCTTTCTCCTCCTATTTATTCTCTCTGTCCACCAGCCCCACCTATCCCTATTCTGCCTGGCTATTGGCCATTCAGCTTTTTATTAGACCAATCAGGTGCCTTAGGCAGGCAAGGTGAAACAGCAACACATATTTTCATAATTAAACAGATGCAGCATCAACACCTTCACATAGTTAAAGTTATTTTCCACAGCATATAGAAATGTAACACATCTTTACATGGTTAAGTATTCCACACCACTGTGTAGACCCAGCCTGGCCTCTGCCTCCCAAGTGCTGGGATTAAAGGCGTGTGCCACCACCACCCAGGTGTACTGTTTACATTAATACCACATAACAAGTTTCTCCTGAAACCTACTATCTTAAAACAAATATCATTTGATGGTGAATTATGGTTCTTCAAGCCCGTCTGTGGCTTTAACTAAGGTGGTGTTGGATTCAGCAGGCCTCTGGGCCTGGCCTGTAACAGTGGGGTCCTGGTCCCTAGGACCCTAGTTTCAGAAGTTTCAGAAGACTGGGTTCAGGCAGAACCCCTCCTCCTTATGCTCTCTCCTGCAAGACACTCAGACTCCTTCAGTGACTGTTGCTCGGGTTTAGAGGCTAGACAGAAGGCTAGAAATGTCTCCAGAGTTCCAGAACATTCTTTCCTCTCTATGCTGCTGAACAAACTAGTCCAGCTTAGGCTCCAGGATTGAGTATGCGGACCTCACCTCTCAAACGATGGGCAGCAGCTACCTTTCACTCAGCACAGAGGGCTTCTGCTTTGCTGTGTGCTTCCGCTGGACTTCTATAATTCAGTTCCCCAGGAAAGCAGACACGGCTAGCAGCATTCAATTCTCACATTTTCCAAATTTTTTATGTAAATATTTTCAAAACTGAATTGCCTAACTCAGGAAAATAAGAAACACTCCCACCCACATTGAAGGCAATGTCTAGGTAATTATTTGAACTAATTTGCTTCTACTCCCTATGACTACCTTCCAACTGGCTTGAACAATGATTACACTTTACTTCCTGCTTGCCTCTCCAGTCCCAATTTCATATTTATAGCGTTGCATCACTAACTGGGAAGAGTACAGAGGTCACGAGGTCCCAGAATGTCAGCACCAAGGTTGTGGTAAGAAATCCAAGGGTGTGCAGGAGACTGAACTGCAGGCAGAGGGCTGTCAACCACTCTCCAAGCAACCAGCCCTTACTGGCAAGGGTGAGGGCTGTTTCAGCAGGAGGCATACGAAGTGGTAGCCTAAGTGCGGGTGTCTGCAGGGGAATGTACAAAACTGTGACTTGTGGAAAGCTGCGAGGGGGAAGGTTTGGGTGCCTCATCCAGGAGTGAGGAAGAATTGCCTCCAAAATGGGATTTAAATTGGCTTAACAACAACAACAAAGCCAGTGTACTATTATCTGCAATGTGAGCCTGTGGGCAAAGATCCCTGCTGCTCTCGACGGCAGCCTTACTAATATTTTGTAATTTTCTTATTGTCCTTGGGCGAAAAGTCTTCTACTCTGCAGACTATGGCAAACACTACAAACTTCTAAACTGCTACCATTATCTCTTTCATTATCTCTTTCTCAATCACTGACCCAGCTTCCTTCTTCACAGACATTCTCAATTTCCTGTCCACCTGTTCCCCAAAGTTCCTTGTGCTCAAATGTCTGCTTCCTCATTAGCACATGCTGTCTCTTTTTAGCTCAAGATCAATCCTTGCATCTAAGTTAATCTCCATAAGGAACTAAGCTAAGAATAACTGGGGAGGCGATCCGACTGCAGGAGAAGAGCCACCGTTCTGCTCTCTCCTCAGGTTGCACAAACCAGTCACCCTTTCAGGAGAGAAGTGAAGGAATACTTCCTTAGAGAGGTGCAAATTAAGACCCGAAAAAAGGAAGGGACTAGCCAAAGAAAGAGCAGAAGAAAGAGTGAATTAGGCAGAGAAAGACAAAAATCCCTGACATTGCAATAGTTGGGGTGTATGGAAAAAAGTAAAGACAACTATGGCCAGAGTGGAAATAGGAAACGATGATACTGCAATATAGATAAGCCTATAGATCATATAGCACTGTGAAAGGTATAGGTTTAATTCCAAACTATATGTCACGATGAGATTCATAAGTAGCCAGAATTTGGCAAAAGGGTAGAGTGGTTGAGGAAGTCTGGGGAAATAGGAACGAGCCTAAGGAAAACACAGATATTCATTTTTGACATATTGATTGAGAGATGGAGGCAGAGGATCAGGGCTTTAAGTCTAGTCAGGTCTGCAGGAGACCCTAGCTCAACAAAACAAAACAAGCCCCAAACTCTAATCAAAACAATGTCATATAATCTGTGGGGGTGCCTCAGTGGGTATATTAGATAAAATTCAACTTTTACATTAGGGAAAAGATTCAAAGTCAGCAATACATTAAGTTTTTTGTATGAACTCTATACAGAAAGTCCTCAGCTCAAACCATAACTCTGAGAATCATTAGCCCACAAACAGGAATCAGAGCACTGGTCATGAGTGAGGTGACTTCGGGAAAATGTCTAAGAGAGAGTCAGTCTGCAAGATATTACCAGTATTTCAAAAAGAGGAGAGAAGGTCTTGCCGAACAGTTTGAATGGTTAGTCAGGGGACTGAGGAGCCCAGAGAGCCCGGTGCTGAGGAAGACACTTGGAACAGTATCAGAAAGGAAAGGAAAGTGGTTGTTAGCTTAAGAACACCCGCCTGGGACACAGGCCTTGGGTTCAGTCACCAGCACTCTTCCCAAACAACAGATAAGTGCACGCTTACCTGCTTCATAAAGTGCCAACAAGCCGCACTAAATAGAGGCAGAGGGATATTGGCTGTACCTAGCAACGTGGGTAACAATGGTGACTGACACACAGTAACCTGAGAAGTGAGTACAGGAACAAGATCAGACTGAGTCAATAAATGAGTGAGAATTAAGTTGAAGAGGTTCAAGGAAATGGTGGTGGCCTGCTGTGGAATAATGCCCTTGCACACTGGTTTAATAAAGCACCGATTGGCCAGTAGCCAGGTAGGAAGTCTATGTGGAGAGAGCAGACAAGGAGAATTCTGGGAAGAGGAAGGCTGAGTCAGGAGACACTGCCAGCTGCTGCCCTGAGAAGCAAGATGTAAAGGTCCCGGTAAGCCCCGAGCCACGTGGCAAAGTATAGATTTATAAAAATGGGTTAATTTAAGATGTAAGAGCTAGCTAGCGAGAATCCTGAGCCATTAGGCCATACAGTTCATAACTATATAAGCCTCTGTGTGCTCATTTGGGTCTGAGTGGCTGCGAGACCACAGGGCCGCAGGAGCCGGGCAGGACCAGGAAATCTTCCGACTACAGTGGTAGAAAATGCCATAGTTGGGGATGAAGGGAAAATGACAACATGAGACAGGGAGGATGGAATATAACTGTTAAGATGGAGTCCTGTGGAGAATGGAGACAGATGCAGAACATGGGAGGGGTGAAGATCATCTCTTCACTGTATGGGAGGAAAGAAAGCTGGCACATGTTTACAAGTAAGTGGTAAGAGCAGGGCATTCCTGCCCAAAGAAGTCTGTTCTCCAGATGCGATGATATTATCAATTGAGAAGGAATGTATGAAATGACTGACCAACGTGGGAAACTACATTCACTTGTAGTTTAAAACATTAAAACGGTACTTCCACATACCAGTGATCGTCTCAGTCAAGGTGTGTGACTGGGAAAATACGTGAAACTTCTTACTTGTGCTCACATAGTTGTGCCCAAAGAGCACAACTATTATTCATAATAATTGCAGTAGTATTGTTATCAAATGACAGAAAACAACAATGTTTGCAATAAAGGAGTGGATACCATTTGGAAGGAAAAAATACATAATAAAATATCATGTATCTATGAAAAGAAACAAGTAAGCTTGCATGATGATAGAGACAGAATTCCTAGAGTAATTACCAAGTAAATAAAACAAAATATAAGAAAACTCAGTATTGTACAAGTTTCTGTTAATAGTACATAGAGAGGGGAGGTAAATATATCAATTTAAGGTCTTAAAGAAAACCAATGTTTCCTTATCTACTGGAGTTCAGAACTGAGAAATGAGTCAAAGAAATAAGGTAGAAGTCAAATTATAACTTTCATAAAGTTGATATATTAACACTTATACTTTTCTTGTGGGTAAATGGGATTCCTAACACTGAACCCCATAACTAACATATCCCCTCCCCCCAATTTTCAGTACAGTCCTGGACTCTTACAGAGCCAGCCATTAGAGGGATTATCAACAAACATGTGCTTTGTGTAAGCAGGCTTTTTACCAAGGAGAAAGGGTGAGTTGAGCATTCCTAGAATGTTCTTCTAAGACTTTCCAATCTGAGAAGCAGCAGCATCTCTTCAGACAGAATGCACATAGAAGCAAGGCTATGTGTGATGAAGGAGTCACTCTAACTACCGTCACAGAATCTAAACCCGAGAAGAAGATGACAGGGAGGAGAGAAGATTGTCAATAACCGAGAGTCAGTTCGAGGTTCTGCCAGTGCCCAGTGAACAAAGTGTGCCGATGGGGTGAGCACGTGAAAGAGCGGGGAGGGTGTGGCCAGTATTTCAGAAGCAATGCAAATTCAGACCCTGGTAAATCTGAGAAATGGAGCGTACAAAGCTGGGGTATAATGGGGAAAAAAACAAGGAATTGAGAAACCAGATGTAGAGTAGGTTATCCCACATGGATAGTTAAATCCTAAAGATGAGAAAGAGGAGAAAGAAGAAAAAAAAAAAAAGACTCAGAGCTAATCTTCAGTGTATGGAGGGGAGGAAGGCCATTATATATTAGTAATGGAAAAGGGGGGATGAGTTCTGGAGACCACAGAAGAGAGAAAACGATTTGAAGGCAATAATGCAGCATAAGAACTCTACTCCCTCTTAACCCTGAGGTATTCTGGGTGTGAGAGAGCAAACAGCGTCCATAGGGAAAGGCCATAAAAAGCAAGGATATCAGAGCTCAGACCAAGTCAAGAAACAGGCTGAGGTCACAGGGCAGTGTGCTGGCACAGAGTGAGGCATGTGGGACTGACCAGGAAGACCCAGAGGCTGGGAGAAGATAAGCAGAGGGCCAGGGCCAGATTCCTCAACAGGAGGAAAGCTTGTGCAGAGCAAGCAGGCGAAAGGGCCTGTGAGGTGTGATATTTCTGGTCTCTTAGAGAAAGGTGGTCTTGGTTCTAAACGTAAGCTGTCAGCTTTTTCAAGAGGTGTGAGCCTTAGGGCTAAGGGTGCATCTCAACATTCCCCACATGCTCACGCTGAGTTCCGTCTCCAGCACTGAAAAGCAAGGATGGGAAGTCTTAAGGTGTTCAGTGCCGAAATCTTCCCCCAGTTAACTGTGCCCCTCTCCACACCTCCTGCCGTATCTCAGCAGGACTGACTCTCTCTCCCGGGTCTGCAGAAGCCCGTGCAATCACTAGCATGGCCTCACCTAAGCTCACTCCTCAGCATGGCAGCTTGCCTGACATTTTCTACCCATGCCAATCCTCCCACCCCTCCTCACACGCCCTCGCGCCCGCTCCCTCTTGTGCGTCAGCCCTTCTCTCCTGGTTTTCAGAGCGACAACCCATCTTCTCCTGTACTAAAGCCCCATCTGACTGCCGCTTTGAACTGTTGCACACACAAGCATCCCGTCCCTGCAACTCTGCGTGCTCCTCTCCCGGATTGTGCTCTCAAGTCTTGGGCCAAAGGTTAGTCCTTGTCCATAATCCATCTGTCCATAATGCTTTGTATCAGAAAATGGTTTGTTGAGTGACTGTGTAATTCATCAAACAATACACACCTATATGTTTTGCACCACAGAGATGTCTCCCCATTTTCTTGCTAGTTACGTTCTTCTACCCTCAAGGAAGAGGGTCCCGGAATTCCCTCTCCTAGACATTCTTTCCTTCCGGGTCTCTCGCGTCCTTCTCCAGCTCCTTACTGACTGTTTCCGTCTCTGCTGTCACGTAATTCCGGGTTTTAATTTTCGTCTGCACACCACTGCCCCGACCTGGCAGCTTCCTGCGGACACTTCACGAGTTGTGCTCATCTCCACCAACACCTCCATTCTTCTCGTCCACCACCTCCGCTCTTCACAGAAACACACACCAAAACCTAAACAAAAAGCAAGCCCTTGAGAAAAAAGAAAATAACTTCCTAACATTCTATCATTTTGCAAGATTGTACAAATGCCAACACAAATTTTGGAAATTACTACTTGTTCAGACCCATTTAGCACATTAGGCAAAGGCTACCTTCTCAGGTTGTGACTTGTAGGCAATAATAAATGTTAATCTTCCAGTCACAAATGTGAAACCCAAATGGCTTACATGTTTAATGGTAGACCCTTGAGAATATGCTAACCAGTAAGTGGATTCTCATTCTGAAAATGCAGTCATTTTTAGCTCAGTTTCTGAGGCTCACAGATCCTATAAAGCCTAATAATGGGCCCAATTTAAAATCTGTTGAAAAAAATCAGAATTTAGTAAATATCATCTAAAGTTTCCCTTATTTATATTTTTAATTCCCTCAGTGAAAACAGACTATGTTAAAATGTATAATTGTTCAAAAACAATCCTATTCTATATACAGTTTAAAGGATCTTGTAAAAAGAATTTATTGCACAGTGAACTTGTCAAAAAACCGACAACACTGGGTTAGAAATTATGACAACAAAAGGCACTCAGTTTTCCCATCTGCAAAATGGAGTGATTAATATTAACCACTTATTCCGCAGCACAGAACAGTATTTGCAGCATTCTAATGGTGATGAATTTTCTGGGCCCCTCAGGGTCGTCTCTTCTTCAGGCTGTTGTTTCCCTCTTAGACTGAAGTAGACAGGATGCCTCGGCTGCTCCTTCAGCTCCTCTGTTTTCTGGGAAGGAACACCTGCCTGGAACGTACCTAAGGAGCTATTCTTTTGTTTTCGGATAATTAAAGTACTGCGGAGCTGATAGCTGACATCTGGATCCACTTTTAAAGCTTTCCCTGTGTTTTTCTAGCTCCTAGGAGACTCGTGAAGTATAATGCAGTAGATGGAAATGTGGCGATGTGCTTCATTTCGCCAGGGCAATTTTCCTCTTGCTTTGTTACTTCCCGCTGCCGTTTGTGAGAGGTCCACACTGCTGCCGGTCCTGAGAGGTCAGGGGAGCTGAGCTGAGCTCCAGAAATTTATTATGCTATATAATGCCTGATTTATTTTTATTCTGGCTTTGACTTGACTTGACAAACTCACCTGGGACTTTTGTGCAGAATCAATATCCAGGGATTAATTATTTTTTTGTTTTTAGACATTTTTAGACAATTTATTTTGGACATTTTTAGATTCATAGAGAACATTAAAGTTTAGGTGTCTCTGGCTCCTACTACCACCAGAGAAAAAAGAAACCTGGGAAACATTTTAATATTACATATAATTACTACTAGGACTTGTTTTCTTTCAATATATACCTTTGTTTCAAATTATAATTTCTTAGCCTGTTACACATAACAGAACCTATTTTGACTAAATGCACAGAAAAGAGGTTTATTTAAAAAATATAGGGAAACCCAGAGAATCACTGGGAATCCAGAGAAGGGTGATACAATAGGCTTAATCATTTTAATGCTAAAAAGTCTCCATAGACCCAGCCTAGTGAGCGTCACTGTCATGACTGATGCACCCACACTAAGTATGGCTGAGGCCACTCCCACTGTCCAGCAAAGCCACTGCTGCATTGGGAATTCTGCCCTATCAGGGAATTGCGTACAATGCAAACTGGATTTTTAGCAGTCTCCCTCCCTTAAGCTATTAACATCCAAATCACCTCTGCAGGTGAAGCTGAGGCCACAGATCTGCATCCTTGTTTAAGAGGCTGAAAGTATTTTTAGGGTTCTCCTTGAGGAAGCAACACATAGTGTGTCTCTTACATCCTCTTTTCGATGCTGGGATTAAACCCCTTGACAAAAGCAGTTTCTGGTCGACAGTGTTTAGTATTGGTCACAGTTAGAGGTACAGTCCTCCATGGTGGGGAGGCTGAGGCAGCTGCTCCACACTCAGCAAAGATGGAGTCACAAATACCTTCCTCCACTTACACAGTCCAGGGGCCAAGCCAGGAAATGGTACCACCCACAGTGGGCGGGGCTTTTCACCTCAACAAAGTCAATATGACCACCACCCCCCCAAGGCTCCCCCCACCCAACTTCGCACCCAGTTGTGTTAGATTCTATCAAGTTAACAATTAACCATCACATTATGTATGGTTTAAAAAAAAAATTCTAAACAAAGAAAAACACATTTTTTTTTTTCTTTTTTGGTTTTTCGAGACAGGGTTTCTCTGCAGTATTTTTGCGCCTTTCCTGGAGCTCACTTGGTAGCCCAGGCTGGCCTCGAACTCACAGAGATCCACCTGGCTCTGCCTCCCGAGTGCTGGGATTAAAGGCGTGTGCCACCACCGCCTTTTAAAACCCTAGATACTAGAAAAAGTTAAGATGTTCATAACAAGAAAGAATTGCTTTTCCTGAAGAGTATATATTAAACATTATTGCTTTACAGTTTTTGATAGTCACAAAACAGATACTGTAATGATTTTAATCATGAGAAAACTAAGTCCCAGGTCATTTTGTTGGTAAAACAGAGGACAAGATTCATATCCAGGCCATTTCCTTTCCTAATATTGCTAGTTTTGCAAGAACTCTAATTTCTATTTCCCCACCTCCAGTTCATGCAGAAGCATTAGGATTCCAAACAGTGCACTGGAGAGCGGTGTGGATGCATCAGCTCTGGGAGATGGAACAAGATATGTGTTATCTGTGAGAAAATTGAAATGCAGTTATAAAGCCAACTAAACAGGTCTGCTCTTCAGAATCTTGCTGTGATGCATCAACTGTTGTGGGATAGTTGTGCACTGTGTGAAGGTGTGTTGCTGAGATTGGCGTAGTAAAAAGCTGAAGGGCCAATAGCTAAGCAGGAGAGAAAAGTGGTTCTTGGGGGGTGGGAGAGAAGAGAAGAACTGGGGAGGATGCTAGGCGAGTGAGACACCAACAAGAGACAGAGGGAGTCGGACATAGAGAATGAAAGAAAGGCAAAAAGCCACAAGGCAAAACATAGCTTAATAGAAACAGGGTAATTTAAGTTATAAGAACTAGTTAGGAACAAGCCTAAGCTATAGGCCGAGCTTTCATAATTAATAGAAGTCTCTGTGTCATTATTTGGGAGCTGGCTGGTGGGACAGAGAAAGACTCATTACAATCAACACTAACCAATGTCAGCAGTAAAAACGGTTCTTCTCAGTGACTGCTCCACATTGGTTGGTGCATCGGTACATGTAAGAAGTCCTCAATTTAGTCCTCAAAAAATGTTGCAAGTTCGTAGGCTGTAGATGTAACTCACTGGTAACTTGCCTAGAAAACACAAAGCCCAGTACCATCACCACCACTAGCAGCAGAGAAGGGGGAGGAGGAGGAGGAGATAGAGGAGGAGGAAGAGATAGAGGAGGAGACAGAGGAGGAGGAGGGAGAAGAGGTAGAGGAGGAGAAGAAAGTTGTCATCACTTAGAACTTGTAATTGAAGCACCATAAACAATCTGAGAACAGGAAGGAAGCCACTTACTACATGGTGTGCCTAAGATGCATATCTTTTAACATAATTTCAAGAAAATTGCAAGCTCCATTGAGAAGCACATTTCTCAATCTTAGCATCAGAGTGCAATGGTTTCTCTTCTCTCCTGGCAGCATGCAAACCTCTGATAAAAAGTCAGAAGCGCCTGGATTTCCTTTGGCAGCAGAGGTTCTCTTGGCAAGACAGCTGCTGGTAAGAAGGAAGATGGGTCCTAGTGATTGATACAGGAGGTGGCCGTCTAGGTGCATTCCCAGCTACAGAGAATTTGAAATCTTGAAGATATGCTTTATGTTGTCATCAAATTACACATTGAATTCATAAATCTGGTGTTGAAAGAACTTGTTGGAAATGTTTCACTTTGTTTTGCGGAGGGGGCAGAGGGAGGAAATGACAAGATTTCCTTGTATTTCCAAGGATTACCTTAAACTCACTATGTAGCCCAGGCTGGACTTGAACTCAATCACCCTGCCTCCAGCTCCTGAGGGCTAGGATTACAGGCCTGCAGCACTCTGCCGAGAAGGGTACTTATAGACCTACATTTAATATTCAGAATTTCTCCATATGGTAAGTAAGGAACATTACTGGTGTTATTATGATTTATTTTTACAAATATAAACTTCTGATTAGGTAAGAAAATTGTACAAATAGCAGAATTTAGTGCAATATCAATTTAAAAATTACATTGCATATATATAAGAAGCTATATGAAAAGAAAGCAGAAATAATTACATGGCATACTATAGTCATATTTACTGAACTAATAAAAACAATAGCCATTTATATTAGGATTTTCCAAAGAAACTAATAGGATATACATGTATGTGTATATATGAAAATACATACATATATACATACATATAGAGAGGAGAAAGAGGGGGCTGAAATTATAAATAATTGCTCACACAATCATGCAAGCCAAGACATCTCAAGCTCGGTGTTTGGCCATGTGTGAGGTAAAGAAGATCTGGAAGTCCCAGTCATGCCTGAAGGACTGAAAGTCGGGACAACTAACTCCAGGTCTGAAGGCGTGAGACCAGTGAGCTAGTTCAAACACAGACAGAGAGAACACATTCTCCTTTCCTGGCTTTTTCTACTTAGCACTTCAAAAGACTGGATGAAACCCACCTACAGTGGGAAGAGCAATCTGTTCCTCTCAATACAAAGGACAAACTTATCCAGAAACAACCTCAGACACGTTCCAAAGGATGCTTCACCATCCGCCCTGTGGCCCAGTCAACTTAACACCTCCAAGTTGGTCTATGTTTCACTAGGTCATACGAATGTAAGGGGACATATAAAGTGTTCTTCCAGTTCACATGTGGAAGAATATAGAACAGATTAAATGACCTTCCATGGGAGCAAGCAAATACAGACGGTGTTAATGGAACTGACTTGGAAGTACATGAAGGATGTAAGATATGATGCCTGGTGTTGCTTTAAAATTCCAAAAATTGGAAAAAAAAAACTCAAAAAGAAGACAAAAGGAACAGATGGAACAAGTGACGCCAACGTGGCA